GCTTTTTAAAACTTATATAAAACTTGTATGATGAATGGTCTAGAAGGTTGATGCAACAATAAAATAAATTTTCCCATTGCATCATTCTCTTCTTTGTAAATGTATTGCTCAAAGTATTGCATCATCTTTCAAAAAAGATATAAAAGCAATGATACACTAACTTTTTAGTCTGATATTGTTCTTCATTAAAAACAGTAGAAAATTCAAATTTAAAATTTTACATCCATAATGACAAAGAAACTAAAATTGCCAGAGGAAGATATTTCACAGTTCTTAGGTGAATTAGAAGATGAACACCAAAAGCAGAAGCCAGCACTATAGACTCAAGATGGTGAAACTGATCATGTGAGCAAAGCTTTAGACTGTGAGTCCTCAGATGAAGATAGAACACATGAATATTTTCAAAATCAAGAATCAATGAGTGAACGATATGATTCTAAGGATAAAGAGAAAATATAGTAATCATCCTTTTAGTCATTCAATAGGAAGGATTTCCTTACAGAATATTTTTAAATGAGAATCTGGGCTGTTCTGTTTTGCTAAAATTAAATGTGACAGTGTTTTTTCATCTATTATAAAATTTTTGCAGCAAAATCTATTTGATTTATCCTGAAAATTGGTGAAGACAGAATGTATCCAAATGTAACTGGAAGGAAAAGGATGCAACAGAATATTTCTTCTTAAGTAGATTGATTATGCTATTTGCTTTTTATAAATCTAAAGATTAAATGCTCTGCAATCATGGAACAAAGAAGATAGCCATTCTCCAGCAAAAATATGAGTTGTAAAAGATTTTTTAAAACTTCTCAAAGTATTATATATTGACAAATATGTATTTGCCATGTTTGCATTTTATTAACATTTGATCAGGAGGGCCATAACATTCCCCTCAGCTTGACTCAGTTTCAGACAAATTTCTTCCTGACTAGAGACTCCTGATGTACATTTTCTTAGAACAATTACACTAGAAAACTTCTAATCACAAAATCTTTCTCTGCCCCTTTGGAATAGAGATAAATCTTCTCCCAGCCTTTTCCCATTTTATAATGCCGGATGGTCTTTCTCAAGGACCTGGAAACCATTCCTCTGAAATGTAATCATCAAGAAAGACAGGGCCCCTATCTCCCGGTCTCTATGGGAGATTGGGAGCCTAGCTTCTGCTAGAGTCAATCAGCAAACGTAGATGGTCTAATCACATTGACCAACCTCTCCGCTGATGTGCCCTCCAGGACGTTTTCACTAGCTCACACCAGTGTTTAAAAACTCTCCTGCTTTTGGTTTCAATAGATTTAAGTTCTCTCTCCCCTATTGCAATAGTCTCGACCTTTTGTAATAATCTTGGATAACATCTTCCTTGGCATCCTTAACAAGCGTCCGGTGCAATTTTGGTTTGCCACATTTTAATAAAGTTGTTTGGCACTGTCTCTTTATATAGCTGTGAATTGTTTATAAAATATATATTTTTAAGTAAATGACCGAATGGTGAACTGTGAGAGCTGTTTTTTCCCCTGAAATAGTGGGAATGGAGGCTATTGATACTTCTTCCTTCAAAAACTATCACCTCTATGCATGTCCACATCAAAAATCTTTTTGTTCCCTTTTTACCTCACTGGTCACACCTACTTTGTATCTTTTGCAGGCTTCTCTTCCTTTAGCAAATCCTTAAATATTGCTGTTTCCAAAGGCTCTGCCCTATGTTCTTTCATATTCTCACTTTATATTTTCTTCCTGGGTGACATCATATACTTTCTTACCTACAAATATTCTAGTAAGTCCCAAATTGTTGAATTTGAATGGACCTCTTCTTTTCTGCTTTTACCTGACCTGTAAGCAGTAAATAAAAAAGGTAATAACTCCCTCCCCCTTGGAACACTTTCTTTATTTGGTTTCTAGGCTCCCACACTCTCCTGGTTTGCTCCTTACAACTCCCAGTACTTACTACCGAGTATCTGGGTCTCAGTCTTTAGACTTAGTCTTTTCTCTGTCTACTCTCTCTCCTTAAGGGGTCTTATCACACTAAAGGTTTTAAATATCACATATAGGCTAATAAATACAAATGTATATCTACAGAGAATTGTAGAGAAAAATACCCTATCATTGTTTCGAGAAACATAGTCTTCATGCTCTGTTCATTTATTCAGCTAATTATTATTATCAAGAATATCAAAATAAACTCACTCATTTATCACAAATATCTTATAATCTAGAAAACATGCAAAACTAGAGACAACTCGTTTGACAAATGTATAAGATCTATTCAAACTAGGTATAGATAGGGAGCAAAAACATGACGGTGAAATGCATGGATTCTGATGCCAGCACTTGGGATAAAATATGTCTCTGTTTTTTCTTAGGAAGTAACTTCTCTGGGCCTCAGTTTCTTCACCTGGAAAATGAGGCATGTAATATATTTTCCTCATATATTTCTAGAGAATTAAATGGGTTAATGCTATAGTGTTTGCTAGAATCATGTGTGGGACATTGTCAACATTATTTATTTGTTTAAAATTGATTAGATTACTTATGGTAAATTTGAGTTCAGTTTGCAATATAGTTAAAATTTAAACAGAATTAGATAAAGACATTTCAGAAAGGAGAGTTGATATGAACAAAACTACAAATTAGAAAGTGTTATCTATGTTTTAAAAAACAAGCAGTTCAGAGTATGAACAAGATTTTTTTTTTTAAATCAAGGTAGATAAAATTGTGACCAAATCAAAGACAGTGATAAATATGAGGCCAGGGAGTTTTGCACTTTTATGTGCTAGTTTTGGAAAAACCACTGAAGTTTTTTTTAACACTGAAGTCAGAAAACTGTACTGTAGGAAATTTCATCTGCTCTGCCTTCTGCTATTATTTCCTCTGTACCTAATGTCCAAAGACTCTTATGATCATGCTTTCACTGTCAGTGAGCAGTGAGTAGAAAAAACAAACACTTATTTCTCAAAAAAGGTGATTATTCTGCTATATTATAAATGTACTGACTTCTGAGTTCTTGCCTAAGAGTCAGGGTCTGTGAAAAGAATGAAAGGTCCACTGAGTCAGTAAAGATATGAATGGATTCTAACGCAATTGTGAAGGGAGCTAGCTCCTACTAGGAATGTATATCTCCATCTTGCCACATGATGCAAAAGTTGCAAAAGGTTATTATAAACATTTTAAATTATGATTGTTATTATAAATGACAATTGAGGAGTTAGGATAAAAGGTCCAGTGTAGTCATTGGACATAGGTAGCATTATTCTAGAAGCATTTATCACCATGAGCTAGAGCTCTGGTCTAAGTCTTTTACTGTGCAAATCATGTTGCATTCCCAAATCTTCTGCCCAACTCAGCCTGGTCAAGACCACTGAACATGCAATTTTGTTGGGTAAGTGGACTTACCACCAAGAACATTTACAGAAAGAAATGTATAGCGTATGAAGTAAATTAAGCCTATTTTTTTTTAAGTTTGAGTCTACATTGTCCCATCAATGGGGTACTCTGAATACATTCATATTTACGTAAAGTATGTAAAACAACAAACCACACTAGTTTTATACTTTAAATTTGACATATATAACTATAAAATATAGTACTACTTATAATAATTGTAAAAATATAATTTACCTGACATATGTAAATATGTATAGGTTAGAAAATTGTAAGATAAATTGATTATTCCCCAAATTATGTGACTTTGAAGGAAACTGACTTACTACATTTAAAGTATCATTTATTAGATTTACATGCATTATTTACGTGATTTTTAAAAAAGTTGCCTATTTGTTGATGTGTCCAGGTAACCAGGTATGTTTGAAATGCTTGAGAAACTTAGATATATCAAATTTTTAAGCATAGATCTATTTGTAACACCAAGTTTAAAGAGATGTCTAAGCCCAGTGTCTATAGAAGCGATGGGTCCCAGTTCACTTGCATTCTGTTTTTGAATCTTTCTATCCTATGTTGTATGTTCACAGGTTTCTAAATCAGTTTGCTTTTGGATCTAGAGGACAGTGTGCTGCATTGTGGAGAGTCTCTGAAAGTTTTATGTTAACCTTTCACTTTATCAAAAACCCTGGGTACAAATCCATTTAAAATAGATATTTTAAGTTTAAATTCATTTGTATATTTATAATCATTTTTTATTATTTTTAAAAATATTTAGGAAATACTTATAGGCAAGATTTGAAAATTCTTTCCAGAATAAAATATATTCTAGCATAAACTTAGCTGAATAAATTTCACAAGACATTTTAAGACTCATGTAAAATCCAAATTGTCTCCAGCTTGCTTTATCGATAAATTCAAGCCTACTTAGAATAATTGATTTTTATAGTATATATACTTATTCGGTATTTTGAAAACTAGTTTATAAGTTTTTAAAATGTTTTATGACGTTTAATAGGATACCTAAAAAAATGTAAAGTTATTGTGTACTGGAACTGAGACACTCAAAGAAGAATCTAATTTAAACTCTACATTTTACAAATGAAAAAAGGTAAGCTCCACATGAGAAAATGTGTGGAAAAAAATTATGAAGTAATGATAATTTATTTCAAAATGAGTATGCTTTCATAAGTCTTTACATACTTAGTAATTCATTTGAAATTGAGTTTCACTTGTGTTGATGTCTGATATATTTTATATATCATTTTATCTTTATCTTCATGATGAATGGAAAAATAAAAGTTAATTAAAATTATTTATTCTATGGAATCACAAAAAATAATTTTTCTTTATTGAACTGACAAAGTACAAAGGATTTACTCTTGAATCCTGAGTGTTAGCAGATTTTTCAAACATTTGAGGAATTTGGAAGTAGAAAATGTGACGTTTACATATTTTTTTAAAAGAAAGAAATTTAAATTATACAGAATTCACAGCATTAAAGCATGAAATTAATATAGCTAAATAACGCTTATTTTTATCATTTCAAAGTGGGAGGAATACATAGCAAAAGTTATTCTATATAATACAAGGCAATGTTTCGACGTCGGCAATTTATTATGGATTCTTACCTGGCCAGAGACTGCATTTTCACAAACGTAAGTCTCATAGTATTCGGAGAACTCAGGAGCATGATCATTGATATCGAGAACTTGCACATACACAGGGACTGCAGAACTCTGTTCTATACTGTCTGCAAATTGAATAAACAGAATGAAAATAAAGAATGCTAATGCTGTCTTTAGGGGAAAAATGGTCATGAAAACTGCATTAGAGGCTATGTGGTACATTTTTACTTTACTTGAATAAAAGCTGAGGACAGGATAGGTATATAATTCATCTATTTATCAACAATACAGCCTAGAAAAAATGTTCTCAACACATTCAGCTCAACCAGCGTTAATCCAGTGCCTTGTATCTGCCATGGACTGTAGGAGCTGTTGAGGAAAAGTAGTAAAAGTAAAGGAGATAGTCAGGTACATGAGCACCCTCCACTCTAGTTGTGATGATCTAAATTGTCTTCAGACATGGTCAAATGTACTAGGAGGCAAAAATGCCTGCAGTTGAGATGTGTTGCTCTATCATAACTTTCACAAAGGCGCTTGCTCACGAGAAATGAGGAGAATGATGATTTAGTCCTTGTGTTAAATATGAAACACAGAGCCAGTGATGGCGGAAGGATGAAAAATAGTGGGATGTTAGCCCCTTCTAGAACCTGATCTGGAAATGGATAGTAAAAGTTAAACTACACATATCTTTGACCCAGTCATTAGTTTGGGAAACATATGCTACAGTCCAAGGCACCAATATATAAGAGTATGTAATCCAATTTATTTATTCCAGAATTGTTTGCATCCCAACCAAACAACTGGAAGTAACCCAAAAGGGATTGGGGAAATAAATTACCACCAAACTATGAAACTGTGTATGCTTATTAAAAATGAATGCATCAATGTAACACATGTAGTAATATCATGAACTTTAAAAATGTATTTTAATCTTGGTTCTCAATTTGAGAAAAATGCTTACCACTCTTTGTCTCAGTTGGTTTTCTGTAAAATGGAAATGATACTAGTAACAAGCTTATAGAGCTGTTATAAAGATTAAATGAATTAATACATATGAAACATTTAGAAGATCACTTATATAAATAAGCAATAAACACTAAATACTATTATTTTATTTATCTACTAACCAGAAGTGATATACACGATGTTTTGTGAAGTGCTAAAAAACAATTTGCAGCATAAGGTATTGTATATTTGTATATCATTATTTTAAATCTTTCTTTTTTATTTTAAAAAGCCATGGGAAGGTACATACATTGAAGAGTGGGGAGAGGGAGTTTCTTTTGTTTGTCTCAGTGTCTTTATTTATAATCTTACACGCTCTTTCTTTTATAATCACAAAGCATTATATTTGCAATTGTAATTCATAAGGGCAAATACAAATTAAAAAAAAAAAGGCTTAACTCTACCTGTTGAAAATTAGGGAAAAGTCTTTCCTTCCTTCCTCTTCTTAGAGAAGAGGACACAATATTTGTGTCTAACAATACAAATAACACATTTTAAAGACTCTGCTTTTTAATAACTTAAATTGTAGTACTTCTAATTTAACAGAAGTTAATGATATAGTCTTACAAAAAATTCCCCTTATATATAAAATAAGATTACAGTAGCTGATTATTTACATAAATTCATTAAAACATGCTCTTTCAATAGTTGAAGGCTACTTTACATAGAAACACCTTTTTCAAAGATGTCCAGTCCTCCTTTGAACTGATTTGAATTCTTTTCTCAGCAGTCTTGTAAGTAATGATATAAATAATTTGTTCTCAGAAATATGCAATGAATAAAAGTTTCTTGCTTTTAGACAAACATCTTTGTGTTTTCTGACACCAAAAGCCTTGGCGTTTCTTCCGTGCAGCAGGCATTTACTCCCCTGCAACATTTGCTCCCCATCATTTATCGTTTAGTTAAACAGAAAATTCAAAACCCAGACCCAGTCCTTCTGCAGTTTCCAAAGAGCTATTCAATGTATGACAAAAAGTATGCAAGAGATGCTTTGTACTCCACCATCTCATCAGCCTACTGCTCAATAAGGTGAGTAGTAAGATATATGTTCAAAGACTTTCAAACAACAAGCCAAGAAAGTAAACATGATTAATAAAATTCTATGCAAAATCAGTTTTGAAAGGACGCAATCTAAAACATTGAAAACTCACAAATTGAATCCTTTACTGTACTATATTAAAACCATTGACTAAGTAATAGGGAAGATTTTGATAATCCTTTCCATTGTGTTCTATCCATTCTTTTGAGCCTGAATGAATATGGTTGATGTAATTCTGATTGAGAATTCTGAAGACACAATCTAAGTGGTAAACTGGGATGATTTTATCTACGTTTTGCAACCTGAAAATGGAATCATCTGCTTCTCTGTGAAAAAAAACTGGTCACTGCTGATTATTAAAGACGTGACTATCAGCACTGCTGACACAATGAGTTTAATTTGAACACATTTTACTGGGCAATATTTTATATGCCCAGTTTGAAAAAACTTACAAAATTTATATTCAATTTAAAAAAATTGAGTTAAAAATGCATTCATGAAAAATATGGTAAGAACATATAATTATATAATTAAAAGTTCTTAGAATTTCAAGGGATTTTTTTGTTTATTTCTTGTGTTTTTCTGAATTTTCCATGATTTATTTCTTGCATTAAACATTATTTATTGCCATAATAAAAATGAAGATATTTAGTGGTAAGTATATAAATAAGCTGTAGTAAGACTGTGCAGACATTTTGAATTTAAAATAATAAATTAAATGAACATGTATGAATTGACATATAAAATACCATTTAATTCTAATTTCAGCAACACTTTAGCTTTTGTCTCTATGTTTAGAGATTACTGAATGGTTTAAAAAATATGGGGAACCAATATATGGTTCCCAAATGAGTACTTACATTTTTCTGTGGCTGTAACACTTAGGTTATACCAAGCACTAATCTCTCGATCAAGAGAGTTAGTTGTGAAGACTGTACCATTGTCATCAATACTGAACACTTTGCTTCTGGTAATAGAATACCTGCGCACACACAAATAATTCCTTAATTTTATTATTTTCTCCACATAATACTCTTTAAAGAGTGTATAATACTCTTTTTAAGCAATAAAATATTATCAGGTCCACACTCTACACAGCTAATGCAATGCTGAACAATTTTCAATAAGGTAAATTCTACATTTAAGATTCAACTCAATGGAGACAGGAAAAACAAAACAAAACACCAAAAACCTAAAACAGTTCTAGATTTCAATTGACACATGTGAAATCTAGACACATGTCACTCATTCTTATTCCCAGAAGAGAATTTTCATAAGTGAATGACTTGGTTAAAAAGAAATGGCAAATGTCTTTTGCAAAATGAAGAGAAGTACAAATAAACAGGGGTAAAAATGAAAGCTTGTGAACCTTTTTTTTCCTTTGAAGCAATGTAAAACAAATTGTCAGTTTAGGCTGCTGAGTCTCCTTGTTACACCACATAGTTACTTTCTAAATCTGTGCATCATATTATAGTTACTTGATTGCTGACATATGAGAAATGTTTGTTTTTATTTAAGGAAATAATTAGATAATATCTAATAAAAATAAAGTATGTATTTATTACATGTATTTATATATGTATATATGTGTGTGTATACACATATAAGCATATCTATATATATACATAGATAAACATATATACATATATAAACATATCTCCTAAAAGTGAGGAAGTAAGGATAGTAGGTGTAATGTGCTATTATTAAATCATGCATGGAGAAAGCCAGATAATAAAATTCTCTCATGCAAAAGCCCGGAAAATAATCTCAAATTCCACAATGAAAGAAGACTTTGAAGTACTCAGCATGTCTTATCTGCTTGCAAATGATCAATAATTAAAATTAAAGAAGAGTAATAACTAGGGTTCAGTGATGCCTTCTCATTGCATATATATTCCTAAAGATTTTGATAAGACATCAATGAGATTTACCATAATTATGTGGCAAAAGATGATAATATTTTAATCTTGAATTGACAGTTCTCTAAAAATATCACACTAATTTGTAGGTTGGTTTTGAGGGGAAAATTAAAACAGAAACTACAAAGAATTAAGCTTTAAAAGAATTCAGTTTTAGCTCTACTCATTTTTAAACCTTTATAAGCAATTTGCTTACATATCCACAAGTGGTCACATTTCCTACTTAGATTTGTTGACAAAACGAAACAGTAGTTTAATATTTTGTAGTAAGCGTACAGAATATCCTGTTTCTATAATACACCATTCCAAATAAAACCAACCAAAAGTTTGAGATTATTTCCTTATAAAAGTTTTTAAAAATTATGACCCTGAGTCATCAGTAACATTTTAAATAATAGTGAATACACACCATTTAAGAAAGGAAAGAAGTGTTTAACACATATTAGAAAGAGCTTGAACTAAAAACCTTAAAATATAAAGTTTTAATCTTTGGTTTGCTTCACAGTTCCTTTTTTAAAGACTCTTCATTCCTCTAAAAATGCTGAGTGAATAGAATGTGGCTATGTAATGTTTTCTCACTGCTAAGAGCTCTTGACAGAATGATAGAAACAAATGATTCTTGCATACATATAAGGATGTCTTTATAGCGGGTTCTTAATCTTTGTACGCCTCTACTATTCCCACTTCCCAGAAGAAAAACTGAGGCACATAATAGCCAGGCCCATATACAAAGCCTAGAGATTCCCAAGTAGGTGCAACTCCACCAGATCATTCAAGAATTTTAAAGTACTTTTTTAATGCACAGGTGAAAGATGTTTAAAGACAGCCTCTTCCACTGGTGAAAGACGCCATGATACTATACATAGAGAATCCTAAAGATGCCACCAGAAAACTACTAGAGCTAATCAATGAATTTGGTAAAGTTGCAGGATACAAAATTAATGCACAGAAATCTCTTGCATTCCTACACACTAATGATGAAAAATCTGAAAGAGAAATTAAGGAAACACTCCCATTTACCATTGCAATAAAAAGAATCAAATACCTAGGAATAAACCTACCTAGGGAGACAAAAGACCTGTATGCAGAAAACTATAAGACACTGATGAAAGAAATTAAAGATGATACAAACAGATGGAGAGATATATCATGTTCTTGGATTGGAAGAATCAATATTGTGAAAATGACTATACTACCCAAAGCAATCTACAGATTCAATGTTATCCCTATCAAATTACCAATGGTATATTTTACAGAACTAGAACAAAAAATCTTAAAATCTGTATGTAGACACAAAAGACCCTGAAAAGCAAAAGCTGTATTGAGGGAAGAAAACGGAGCTGGAGGAATCAGACTCCTTGACTTCAGACTATACTACAAATCTACATTAATCAAGACAATATGGTACTGGCACAAAAACAGAAACATAGATCAATAGAACACGATAGAAAGCCAAGAGGTAAACCCACGCACCTATGGTCAACTAATCTATGACAAAGGAGGCAAGGATATACAGTGGAGAAAAGACAGTCTGTTCAGTAAGTGGTGCTGGGAAAACTGGACAGCTACATGTAAAAGAATGAAATTAGAACATTCCCTAACACCATACACAAAAATAAACTCAAAATGGATTAGAGACCTAAATGTGAGATCAGACACTATAAAACTCTTAGAGGAAAACATAGGAAGAACACTCTTTGACATAAATCACAGCAAGATCTTTTTTCATCCACCTCCTAGAGTAATGGAAATAAAAACAAAAATAAACAAATGGGACCTAAAGAAACTTCAAAGCTTCTGCACAGCAAAGGAAACCGTAAATAAGACAAAAAGACAACCCTCAGAATTGGAGAAAATATTTGCAAATGAATCAACAGACAAAGGATTAATCTCCAAAATATATAAACAGTTCATGCAGCTCAATATTAAAAAAACAAACAACCCATTCCATAAATGGGCAGAAGACCTAAATAGACATTTCTCCAAAGAAGACATACAGATGGCCAAGAAGCACATGAAAAGCTGCTCAACATCACTAATTATTAGAGAAATGCAAATCAAAACTCCAATGAGGTATCACCTCACACCAGTTAGAATGGGCATCATCAGAAAATCTACAAACAACAAATGCTGGAGAGGGTGTGGAGAAAAGGGAACCCTCTTACACTGTTGGTGGGAATGTAAATTGATACAGCCAGTATGGAGAACAGTAAGGAGGTTCCTTAAAAAACTGAAAATAGAATTACCGTATGACCCAGCAATACCACTACTGGGTATATACCCAGAGAAAACCATAATTCAAAAAGACACATGCACCCCAATGTTCATTGCAGCACTATTTACAATAGCCAGGTCATGGAAGCAACCTAAATGTCCATCGACAGACGAATGGATAAAGGAGTTGTGGTACATATATACAATGGAATATTATTCAGCCATAAAAAGGAACGAAACTGGGTCATTTGTAGAGACACGGATGGACCTAGAGACTGTCATACAGAGTGAAGTAAGTCAGAAAGAGAAAAACAAATATCGTATATTAACGCATGTATGTGGAACCTAGAAAAATGGTACAGATGAACCAGTTTGCAGGGCAGAAATTGAGACACAGATGTAGAGAACAAACATATGGACACCAAGGAGGGAAAGCCATGGGCAGGTGGGTGTGGTGGTGTGATGAATTGGGAGATTGGGATTGACACGTATATACTGATGTGTATAAAATTGATGATTAATAAGAATCTGCTGTATAAAAAATAAATAAAATTAAATTTAAAAAAAAACAAAAAAACACAACCTCTGTTAATATTTGGGTGTGCTCACTTATTTTTCTCATTTATTTTACATAATATTTTACTTGTAGTAAACGTACGACTCTAATGATTTTGTATTATTATTATTTTTTTGATTTTGTATTATTTTTAAAGAATCATGCCATGTCTTTATGTTCATAAGCATCATTAGAAAGCATTCATCATTCATTGCCTTATTTACACCACTGAGATTAGATATTTAAATTGTTTCTACAATTTTATTATTATAAAGAATAATATAATGAAAGCTTTAATCATGAAAGCATTTTTTAAAATTATGTATTCTTTAGTATTGTCAGAAAAACAAATAGGTTAATATACTCTTTAAAACCTAAACAATTAATTTACTGACTTGTATATACACACACATATATACTTATATTCATTATTAAAGTTCATGCTAATAAATAGGAACTGTATCTACATATTAGAAGGCAGCATTTTATGATTAGGAATTACAGTGGAAAAGTGGGAGCATCGTCTCTCTCAGAAATTTAAAGAAGCTCTTTGTGTCCGTAGCCCTTCCAAAGAGCAAAGCAGTACCCAGCACCTTAATAAATATATGGAAGTTTGTGTAAGTCCCTGGACTGTAAAGTATGGAAAATGGATGAGCAAGGGAAGGTGGTGGAAGGAAACATGTAAAAGGTTTTGCTTTTATTTTTAACCAGAACTATGATGCAAATACAAAAAAAAAACAGAAAGAAAATATACTACCTGAATATAACAGACTAATTTAATAGATGGTAAATATTGTTTAATTGCAACACAGAAATTTATTTCTAATTGATTGGACTTACTTCATTTTTACTCCTTTAGCAGTACCCTATAAAAGCTTAGTTTATTTTTGAATATCATTTTAATTAAACAGTGTTTAGATGAACCACATTGTGATCAGCTTTGTTTCTGCTCTGATTTGGCATAATCAAGGGTTTCTTTTCCCTCACCTTCTTACCCCAATTAATAGAGAGTTGACTGCATCTAATTTTAGTTGGTGATTGCCTCTTTCTTGCACGTTTTCAAGTTCTTATTTCACTGCATCTTAACCAATAGTGAGGCTTCCTGTTTCAACTTGTTTAAACTGTTGCAAATTTTATAAGTACCTTAGAGAGAAATACAGATCTAGATATATCCTTGTTACATTAATATAAAATTTTATTTTCAAGCTAATCTGTGTTCCCTCATTTACTAATGCAAAGCTGGCCTTCCAGACATACCTGATAGGAGATTTCCTCTGATCTGGATCTGTGGCAGAGACGGTGCCTACAAATGATCCGTACGGGCTTCCTTCAAAGATTTCAAATATGTAATACGGGAGGAGGAAAACAGGAGGTTCCTCAACATCTTCCACCTGGATCTTGATGACAGTGGTGGAAGCTTCAGTATGGTATTTCCTGAGCTGCTCATCAACTCGGCGGTTTTTAACTTTTGCTCTAATACGATAGTGGTTCTGGTGTTCAAAGTCTACTTTCTGCAAAGAAATGCAGTGTACACAGAAAACTGGTATCAGTGACTTGAGGAATTACTTAAGAAAAAAAAGGTTTTGTTGTTAAATTAAGTCTCAGTTGCTTTCCAGTTAGGTTTTACTATTTATGTTCTTGGATCCCTCTGATATTTTCATTAAGTAGTTGTGTAGCAAATCCCTATGTGTATTTTGTTATTTATGTCTATTATAAAATGTTTTGGGTTAATAATTATATTTTTTATCTAGGATTAAAAGTATACTTTTCTGAGTATAAATATGGAGTTGAGAATTAATTTCCTGTTATTTAAGATAATTTCAAAAAGTTTCTCCTGTGTATTAAAATCTTTTAAAAAAACTACTCTACAATATAATTCAAAGATCTCGGTAACAATTAACTCTCTCATCAATTATATTTGAAATATATAGATATAAAATATAAATAACTGAGCTTTTTTCTTTATTTTTTCAGAAGTATCTTGCATAAAACTGATAATTAGCTATTTGTATATTATTATTTGTAATTAATACTAAAATGTAGGTAATAATCATATATGTTAATATTCTAAAAAATGAAATATCTTAGAATTTTTTATAAAAGCACATATATCTTTTCTTTTGCTCCCTAAACTAAATCACAGGGTCTTATTTTAATTACGTAACAAAGCAAAAACTAACTGGTTACACAAAATATATATGTATTTCTGATTTGATTTTGCATTATTATGCAAAACAAATAATTTTAATGCATCTACCTTTTTTAATATAATTATTCCTTCTTGGGTCTCGTTATTAGTAATGACATCGAACGTTTTTGAATCATCTTCTATGCTGTAATCCATTTCTGCATTCTCTTCTATGTCATTATCATATGCCATGATTTTTCCAATCGACATCCCAACAGATGCAGATTCAGAGACAGTCAACCGATATAAACCTTTAAAAACAAAATTCAGGATATTCTGCACAGATAATTAACGTAAAAAAACTCCTAAATATAGCACTCTCCCTTTATTATGGGCTGTCGGAAAAACCATACCCACCCTTTTCACCAATTACTTGTTCTAAATACCTCTCTCTGTTGCTCTCTCTCTCCCTTTATTTTTTTGCAATCTGAACATTTCCCTCATATCTTTTTGAGTACCTATTATTTTCTCTTAAATATATCTTAGGAAGTCGTTTCACCAGTACATATAATTTCCAAATTTCTATTCATATGTATACCTTCTCAATATTCTTAGGTTTATTTTTATTGTATCCTTCCACCATGCCAAATTAAATTTAATAAAAATAGTTTTTCAATTTCACTCAAGAATTCTCTGATACCTAAAATAACCAATAAATATTGAGTTGGCCAAAAGGTTCATTTGGGTTTTTCCATAAGATGTTACAAAAAAGTCTGAACGAACTTTTTGGCCAACCCAATATAAGTATGAATTAAAGATGGTAGAGTCCAAAAACAAATAGTTGAGTTCTAAGGGTAACAGTTTGACTTTGAGAATCTGAGCCTGGATTGCATTAATTCCATTCCATTAGTGGAAGTGGAAAAGAAAGATATGGAATATTATGCAACCATAAAAAGAATGAAATAATGCCATTTGCAGCAACATGGATGAACCTAGAGATTATCATACTAACTGAAGTAACTCAGAAAGAGAAAGACAAATACCATATCACTTATATGTGGAATTTAAAATGTGACACAAATGAACTTACCTATGAAACAGAAACAGACTCAGAGACATAGAGAACAGACTTGTGGTTGTCAGGAGGATGGGGGTGGGGGAGGGATGGATTGGGAGTTTGAGGCTAGCTGATGCAAACTATTGTATATAGAATGGATAAATAACAATGTCCTACTGAATAGTACAGGGAACTATATTCAATATCCTCTGATAAACCATAAAGGAAAAGAATATCAAAAAGAATTATATATATGTATAACTCAATCACTTTTCTGTACAGTAGAAATTAACACAACATTGTAAATCGACTGTATCTCAATAAAATAAATTTTAAAAAGAAGAAAAAGAGAGAGAAAGATGAAGTCAGATGACCCCATTGTTTTGGTCACAAGAAAACAATGGCAGTTATATTTGAAATACATAGATATAAATATAAATAAGGTTTTTTCTCTTTACTTTTCAGAAGTAACTTGCATAAAACTTACAAAGAACTAGTCATTCATATATCATTTGTAATTTATGCTAAAATGTACAAAATAATCACAGGTGTTAATATCCTAAAGAATAAATCTTTTTAGAATTAAAAAAGGAGCATGTTCAGTATAATTTTTTTTTAAAGGGATTCTTGACTTCCTTAGTAGCATATAGCAGGTCATTCCACAGACTGCTTTGTGAGATTTTCCTTTTTTAAGTGGGAGAAATGTTACTTTAAAGTTGGTAATATTTTGCTGTTTTCAGGAAGTAATAGTTTAACTGTGCTACTGTGTCTCTTTCATTGTGGGAAAATTAAAAGAACCGTTTATTTGATTGTACAAACAAAAAATTGCCAACAAGTTAATCTGGAGGAAAGAGTGACACTACCCTAAATCTGAAAGCAGATGCTTTAAGCATTTTGCTAAATCAAGACTTAGTTTGTGTTATTTCCCATACTTTCAAAAATTATTTATTAGAATCCTTTTTACTTACTGTCTTTAAATATAGGCTTATTGTCATTAACATCAGAAAGTTTGATTAATACACTTGTTGTTCCAGACAGTGCTCCAGGCAGACCAATCATGTCTTTGGCTTGAATAATCACCCAATACTCATCTTGCAGTTCTCTATCCATTTTAGAAGATATTCTTATGACTCCTTTAAAGACATAATAAACTATAATTATTATTTCATTATTAACCATGGCATCTTCCTAGTTAATTTCTTAAGAATTCAAGCATAAAATCATTCTTTTGACACATTTTGAACCACTACAATGTGCTAGATGCTGCCCTGGAGAAAAAAATACAACAATAATAAGTCAATCACCACCTCTGCCTAAAGTTTAGAGTGGCCATCACAGTACTAATAGCAGAGGAATCTTAATAAAATACTATGTTAAGATAAACCACAGGGAGAGAAGAAGAATGTATTATTTTTTAACTCAACTTATTTTCTGCTTTCTTCTCTAACATAATATTAGGGCTCTACAATTAACTTTTCCCCTAAACTTAGAAGAAGTTAGTTTATTATGGATACATGTAAAACTATAATACCAAATTTATGCAAAAATATTGTGCACCTGTGATGTTAAATTTATTTTGAGTCATAATATATGAAGAAGAGCTGATTTTTGACTCACAGTTATTCATAATCCACCAACAGAGATATTCATATCCATATTGGACCATGGAAATGTTGTAATAAGTGTCCACTTTCTATAAAATTATTTAGTAAAAAGTTAATCATCACTGAAAACAACCTAGGAAAAATTTAAGGTGGTGAATAGAAGGGTTGTAATCCTAAAGATTTGGGAAACACATAATACAAATATAAGAAAGAGAATGGCTAATCTTCAAATATGTCTGGGGAAAAAGTGTTAATTAAAAAATTGTGATACCTGTAAAAAAATAAAAGAAGGACAAATTGAACCACATTATGATGAGATTTTAATTGTGGACTGAAGTGTTTCACAACTATACTCTATTATATGAATCAGTATGGAAACCATGGAATATATGAAACAGATGCTCCTAATATCTCCCTGTGTGTGACTCAACAGAGAATTGTGTTTCCTATTAGCAAAGGAGAATAGTATTAGAGTATTAGGTATAGAGATTAGTCAGCAAGTGAGACGAACACAGAGGCCTTCACTTCCCATGTATGGAGGCTTCAATTAACTTTGCTGACTTTATTTTCAACCTGTCTTCTTACCTTCAGAATGGATAAAGGACATATATCCCTAGATCCTCTTACACACTTGAAAACTTACCACTTCTGTGCTTTGGCTTCCAATTGTCTTGCTGTTGGCTCTACTGCTCCTCCATTAATACAATTAATTGATTTAGCTAATCTGCTCAATATATTTAAGAAGTCAGTGAGGGCTGGAGGAACAGACAGTGCTCAAAATGGTTGTAAAGATCCAGTGTCACCCAGCACACATCTACTACACAGATAGCCCATTTTCTATTCTCCTCCTCGGTGCTTTTTCACATTGGTGTCTAGTTAGTCTATGAGCTTAAACACTCTCCTTTCTCAGGAATTTCCTATACATTCTTCCCATAACCTAGAATGCCTTCCATGCTCTCCTCACCTTGGTCACGTCTCAGCTCAGCATTCTGGTTTCAGTGTATTCTGCCTTGGTCACACAATATGAAGGAGTTCTTACTTTCTTCTATTGAACCTTGTTTATTTCACTTCATAATAGTCACAAACTTACTGCATGTATTTATTAATACACAAATGTTTAATATTTATTTGTAAGTTCCAAGAGAAAAGAGTCCTTGTTGCTTTCCTTTTATTATTATTATTATTTGTTTTTGTTTTTGTTTTTTGCGGTACGCGGGCCTCTCACTGTTGTGACCTCTCCCATTGCGGAGCACAGGCTCTGGACGCGCAGGCTCAGCGGCCATGGCCCACGGGCCCAGCCGCTCCGTGGTACGTGGGATCTTCTCGGACCGGGGCACGAACCCGTGTCCCCTGCATCGGCAGGCGGACTCTCAACCACTGCGCCACCAGGGAAGCCCTATTATTATTTTTTAATGTTGCAATGGTGTCCTGCTGTAAACCTAGTATACTGTACAATGCCTGTTGCATATTCAATCCTTCTCGACCAAAATTGTGTAAGGGAATGTCTTAAGGCATCCATTGCATGTATTAAAATAACTTTAACCTGTACTTTAAGAATAATAGAAACTAGGTATTATCCTGGGGAGAATTAAGAATATAGTCACTCAAATCATATTTTTCAGATTCTGATTCTCAAAAGAAACTTGATTGATAAAGGCTGACCTATTTAATACTTGCTAAATGAATGAATCAATAACAAATGCTTAAAGACCCAACACGTGCTTTAATTTTTTAAAGCTTTTCATGTCATCAAGATGGAAATAATATTTGTCTCATTAACAATCACAGAATTTTATTGCTTTTGGAACTTGCCACATTCTTGGTTGGTTAGTCAGGTTGTTTTTTTTTTTTTCTCATCTTTAGATACTATAAGCTCATTTATATGGGTTTAATCTTTGTAGTGACCAAAGCAATCAATATTTGTTCAATCAATCAATGTCACATAATTCTTAACTGTTTAATAGATGTAAATAAATAAGAGCAATTTTAAAATTTATTTTATAAAGTATTCAATTGATTAACAGAAATTGGAGAAGGACAGAAAAAGCAAATGTTGTATTCATGTGAATCAAAAAGACATAAAATACAGAACTATTTTTTTTTAAGTTCCTACACCCAGCCATAAACTCAGCTTAATCTCATTCTGGCTGGGTGTACAGGTGGAACTCTGTGATTTTAATTTGCATTTCCATGATGACTAATGAGGCTGAGCAATTTTAATATGCTTGCAGGCTTTTTGTTTGTCGATTTTTTGTCAATTGCTTGTAAATGTCTTTTCCCCATATATTTAAATTGGGTTGTCTGTAATTAATTTGTAATAATCCTTAAGTATGTTTTATATCCCATACACAAATCATTTGTGGTATGGGGGTGAAAAATCCAATCTCCCAACCTTAGAAAAACCAGCTAAAAGATTAAAAATAATTAAATGCTTAACATTACAACCCATTTATTGAAACATCAGGTCTACTTTACAACATGTTTGTAGGCAGAGAACTTTTGCTCTGACTTTGCCTTAGAATCATGTTGAATTGCACTTTGTTTCTTCCAGGAATACCTGTTGTTGGTTCAATGGAGAAATATGGTTGGCCTTGTCGTAAGCTGTACAGGAGATGAGCATTATTGCCACTTGAAGGGTCATCAGCATCACTTGCTGTCACCTGGATGACAAATGTTCCTGAAGAGAAAATACATAGTTACAAGAAATTAAGCCTATGGTCTTCTTGAAAAACGGATTCCAGTTCTGTAAGGTATTCTTTCTTTAGCAAGGAGGATGATGATATGCAATAAAAGACTAGGCCTCCCTGTTCTGAATTATAAAACAAGCATCTTTCTGTATAGACAAGAAAATATAACCTTATACAAAATAACCCTAATTTCCATACACCATATAGAGTTTTAAATATGTGAATCCATGATCTAATGAAATATAGCTATTAAACAACCCGTTACAATATGTAATTAAGGATCATTTAAAGATGTGTTATTAGCAGAGGAATCAAAGGGAAATTAGAAACAGTTTTCTTCAAAAAACTATGTTGTGACCTGTACCTAAAAAAATTACAGAATATTAGTAAAATATTAATAAAGATTATTGAAATGATCTCGACATAGTGTGAAGATAAGCATAATTATTTGGCTTGCTTCATCCCCTTCTGTAAAATGCCTACTTTCTTTAAAGATTTTTTTTAAAGTGCAAAACAAAATCTATCAGATTGATAAGGTAAGTATTCTCATTAAAATTCAGTAACAATAAAACTCATGGGAAATACGTCTTTGTATGTTTAAAATTAATGGTCAAATTAAAAATATTTCTTTAATGAGCTTTTAAATTATTTTTATGTAAACATGGAATCTAGCATTATGGGTCTTGTTGGAAATCCACATCTTTTGAAACACTATGTTCTATGTCAATAAGAATGGCAACACAAATGGCACTAAATCAAATAGGCTTGTGATTTTATATGAAATTAGCATTATGAAGTTTTTCATTACAATCTGATTTTATAAACTGACACATTCTAACATGAAGCCATTCTATGCTTCAGTAATAAAAATGTTGAAACTTTTACTGTGGTCCTCAATTGCATGTATTGATAGTATTTGCTGTTTTGTTTTAGAGTTGTTATGTTAGTCATTTAACGCTTGTTTTATACTGTCCTCCACTCAACATGTAGACACTCATTAGTTTCAGGTGTTTTAAATACATTCCTGCCATTTGAGACAACATGGTTGGACCTTGAGGGCATTATGCTAAGTCAAAGGCAGAGTATGCAATGAATTATATGAGGAATCTTAAAAAAAAAAAAAAAAGCAGAACTTACAGAGATAGTGGATTACTGGTTACCAGGGTCTTGGTTGTAGGGGAAATGGGATGTTTGTCAAAGGGTACAAACTTACAGTTAGAATATGAATAAGCTCTGGGGAGATTATGTACCTTATAGTGATTATAGTCAGCAATACTGTATTATATACTTCAAAGTTGCTAAGAGACTAGATCTGAAATGTTTTCACCACGGAAATGATAATCATGTGACATGATGGAAATGATAGCTAAGGCTATAGTGGTAACCACATTGCAATATATAAATGTATGAAATCAGCACATTGTATGACTTAAACTTACACAATATTATCAATTATATCACAATAATACAAATGCTAAATAAATCAATAGATAGATATATCCCTGTAGGAATCGTAAAGAATTATTCCAACAAAAGGCTTCTTAGGGACCATTTCTATCAGTTTGTAATAGGTAAGTCTTGTTCTTTTAACTATGCTTCTATGCACTCATCCATTTCCTTCCCTTACATTTCCTCATGATATCTCCATTTCATTTATTTCTATCAGGGTTTCCTGTCTCTAGTTTGCAGAACTAGACCACCTGTATTTGGCCTCAGGAACAATAGTCAAAATCATTGTACTGTTAGTTGTTGACCAAGAGAAATTTTTAATTAAGACTTTAGATTTCTTAGTACCATACAAATGAGAATCAAGAAGACCAAGAAAATGCACTGACTCATAGACCACCCATACTTCATTTCTAGAGACAAGAGCTATGGAGTTAGGTTGTTTTTCCCAGTTCAGTTTATTTTAAAGCCCATTTTAATCGATGCTTCATTTACTTCTAACCAAAACATACCTCTTCAATGTCCTAATATGTCATGACCTTTTTCTCTACTAAATGGAAAACTTAATGTAATATATTAATGTCACAAAAAATAATTTCTTTGCGTGTGTGGGGTAAATCCAAAAAAGTCAAACTCAGAAAATTTAGTGGATAAAAATATGATTTATAAATATTCAGAATAACTCTCTCATGTGAATTTGTTAGGGAGTTCAATTTCTAGGAAAATAATTATTGTTCTCCCTTATAAGACTCACTGCACTTTTAAATTAAAAGTAGCAATCCTACAGAACTGGCATAATTCTACAGTGTTTCAATGTTTCAAACAGTGCTTGATAATGAACCATTGATGACTAACCAGTGATTCACTTTTTATGTTTGTGAGTGAGTGAGTGTGTGTGTGTGCGTGTGCGTGTGTGTGTGTGTGTGAAATCATGTGTCTGTGAATCTTACTATAAACTTACCACGGAAAAAAGAAATGTAAAATAAATTAAGATGATACAAATATGCAGCAGAATTTCCAAAAGTTCATTGCGTAAAGTCTTGCTTTATTCTTACTCATAATTTGTAAATGTCGTCTATTAAATTCAGAAGGACTTTAGCAAGGTTCAATTCTTACATCACTCTGATAATCTGATTTTATTTTCTTCAGTTGTTTCAGTCTTTCCTTTTTTCCTGTTTCAGTTTTATTGACATTACAATTCATTAAATACAGATTAAGCAACTTTAAACCCTCTAAATATTTTCTAAATGTTTTTTCTAAAAAAGTCAATAGAGAGAAGTTATCCTGTATAATTTCCTAATCAGTAATTTAAATACTGTAGAAATCTTCAAAAAATAGTCAAACATAAATAAATAGTAATAATAAATAAACATCAAAGCAATTAAGGAATACAAAAATATTTGATAATATTTTGTATATTTATGTTTTCCATGAGGACTTGTCATGTGTAAGAGGAATTGTGCATTCACTCGCAGTTAGGTATGCTCTACTATAGTGCATACAAAGTTGAAAAAATCACTATGAGGCCAATAATGTGTCTTTCATGGAAATAATCAATAATTGTTTCACAGTTCCCCCTTCCTTGTGTCACCAGTTAAATATAGGCAACAGACACTTTGTTGAGTATCATCTTTAATGTGCATTACTGACTCGATCAATGTATGAAGCATGGTACATGTCACATATATAATCTAACCTGTTTAGTCTCTCTTTATTCATTTTACTGTGCTCTCACTAAAAGTGACAACGTTGGGTTTATTACATTAATGGATCAAAAATTAAATTCTCTCTAAATTATATTAGAAATAAATGTATTTCTAAAGGATAAATGGTCTATATGTACATTAATGAAAGATATCTTATGCAGACTATTTTAACCTGAAATATATTATCAGAAGGATATTCTTCATACATATTTACATTATTTAATAGGTTTCTTAGCTTAACTGTGTTTTATCATATAGTGTACTGGGTTATAACTAGCCCTCTTTCAGATTTAATCATGTCTTAAAACAACTTTATTCACTGCCCACATGTCTCACACACTTTTCCTCACACACCATGAAAGAAGCTGCAAGTAAAAAAAGTAGATGTCTACCAAATTAACTCTGGCTTGTTGTAATGCAGGTACTAATAAAATTTTTGAAAAATTAAAAATCAGGGACAAATGCTTCTAGGACAAGATGCCAGAAAAAAAAAATAGGGTTTAGTAGGGCTGTCATAGGTAGAACTGGAAATCTGATCGCCCTACTTTAGAACACCGGTGACAATGCAAAATGATCACAATGATTATATGTAAAGGGAAGGGCCAATAACCCAGAACGAATATGTGTATACTGAATCCTCTCACCCTTAACTCCTATTATTCCACCTTAAGACACCATCCTGTAATTAGAATTGAATAACTGATGGCAACTCTTAAAAATTTAAATTGACTAGATTCACGAAATTGAATTAGCAAGGAATGTAGACCAGAGAGTGGGAAAAGCCTTCTCTTGGTGACTAAAGGATCCAAAGGTCATTGTGAGCCTCTGAGTTGAGTCAGCATAGCTTGATCACAGATGGCCAAACTATTTGGAAATGCAAAGAGCCAATGATGGACTCTTGCAGCCTGAAGATCTCTTAAATCAGTTGGTATCTACCCTGTTAAGTGAACAAAAGTTTAATTCTAAAAAATTATTGTCTCAGAATCAGATTTTAATAAAAGTAGTTTCTCAGTTTACTTGTTCCTATAATAAACTTCAACATAATATGTTGTAATATATCAATTCTGCATTCTATCCATTACATTGATAGTTGATATTGTTTGCCTATATTACCCTTAAGAGATTTTCTTCAAACATGCAAAATTTAAATCAGTTGTGTCTTTCTAGATAGCTTTCTAGAATCTTAAATCTAGTTTTTGCAAAGGACTTTATAAAAATAAATTTAAGACGATATTTGACTATGCCCACTTTATCAGACATATCATATTGCAAAAACTTATTTTACATAGGTGATGCAGCATGTAAACTTGTACCAAATGCTTGAGAAATAATAACGTTGATTTTATTCAACCTCAAAGCAGCTTCCACAGAGTTGGAGGATCTCTTCTTGTGCAACGTCTCTCCGCGTGTCTTTCTTTTCTTACATGACTGACCAATCTCATTGATTCTAATTCAGCAGTCAACTAAGTTCTAACAGTTCGGTCACCCTGTATGCTTGCCTTTTCTCTACCTAAATTCTCTACTAAGGGGATCTCATCCTTTGTCATGCCCTCCATGCCAGCAATATGCCAATAACTCCAATACTGATATATGCAATTCTCCTCATCCTGCAATGGAATTTTTTTTTTCCCAGAACATGGCACGGCTGGCCCCTTTGTATCATTTCCTTCAAATGTCACCTCCTAAATGTCCCCGTTTCCTCCAGTCAATTAATCATCATCATACTTTACCCATACTTAACACTTTAATAACATACAATGTCAAATATTACCTGACTTATTTAAAAGACTTATTTACTGTTCGTGTGCTATAACTCAAATATAAGTTCCATACTAGCCGTTACTTCATATATTTCCTTTACAACTGAATCCCCAGTCTTACAAAAAGTTCCTAGAACATGTGAGGCCCATAACATATGCTAGTTGAAGAAGAAGGAGGAAGAGGAGGAGAGAAAGGAGGAGGAGGAGAAGAATGGAAAGGGGAAAAAGAAATATCACTGCCGGACTTCCCTGTGGCTCAGTGGTTAAGAACCGCCTGCCAATGCAGGGGACACGGGTTCAAGCCCTGGTCCGGGAAGATCCCACATGCCGCAGAGCAACTAAGCACGTGTGCCACAACTACTGAGCCTGTGCTCTAGAACCCGCGAGCCACAACTACTGAGGCTGCGTGCCACAACTACTGAAGCCCATGCACCTAGAGCCTGTGCTCCGCAACAAGAGACGCCACCGCAATGAGAAACCTGCACACCCCAATGAAGAACGGTCCCCGCTTGCCACAACTAGAGAAAGCCTGCGCACAGCAAAGAAGACCAAGTGCAGCCAAAAATAAATAAATAAATAAAAAAACAAATAAATAAATTTATTTTAAAAAAGAAATATATCACTGCCTAGCTATCAAATAGGACAATATTAATGTGCCAATTATATCTAAGGACAGTTGGTCTTGATACATGCTACACAGCTAAATTTGTTTAGGCTGTTGTTAAAAACCTATGTTCTGAATACATGTAGAAATAGGTCGTTAAATTGTTACCTGGAATGTTAAAAAAAATGAAGAATCAGGAAAATATATAATGGAATATACATTTTTAGACTTCCTGGCTAATGAATCAAATGTTTAGGTAAGGCAGTTTTAAAGCACATTAGCATAATTTAAAAATGACAATTATTAAATCACATTGAAGTTTATCATACTTAAGTAAATTTTGTGAATTAAATTTTACTATCTGTTGTATTATTAAACTTTTCTGACAAAGAATGAGTGGCCAAATTTTGTATAACCATACCATGATTTTCCCCCTATTGGAAAGACATGTCTGATTTCCAAGGCAGTCAATTATTACATTTCATGGAAAGCATTCTCTTCTACAAGTATTATATTTAGAATATTTATTAAAGTGACATTGGGTTTGAAAAAGAACTTAAAAATGGATATGGCTAAACAGAGGTCTTCAGCCATTTTGTTTTGTTTTTAATTTTCATGTTCCGTTGTTTGGATGCATCTAGGATTCTAGTCTTATAAATTGGTTTCTCCTGTTTTTATGTGTGACTCTTTCAGGATGATCTTATGTATTTTTTGAGATACAAAAGAATAGTTTGTTTTGGAAAGTAAATTCTTTTATTGAAGAAACCAATAAGTGAACAAGCTAAAGAATTTTATGTATACTCAAGTAAACGTTTCTTTCTATTGAAGACTGAAATTATATTTTAACAAGACAAATTATTTATTAATATATAGTATGATTATTTACAAGATTTTACTCATTAGTCTAATTTTTCAAATATTTTACTTAACACATTTGCAGAAGGAAGTACCCGTGTAGAACGGTAAATAATTCACTTCCAAAACGTATGTTCGAAATTTTAAATCTGCTTTCATTGTTAATAGGTACATCTTTGATGTAAATTAATATGCAATACCTTCTGGAGACATCTCTGGTACAATGGCCTCATAAGGTTCATCTAGGAATTTTGGTTCATTGTCATTGATATCCGACACTCTGATGACAAACTCAGACTCAGGTTCCATAGCCCTTCCAGTAGTGGTGTCTATTACCTGGGCTCTTAGAGTGTAGAGGGACCGTTCCTCTCTATCAAGCTTCTGTACAGCATATATGTCACCTGTTCTTTCATCAATGACAAAAATACTTCCAGCTCCAGCTCCCAAAAGCTTGTACTGGAAAGAGTTGTTTCCATTGTCTAAATCAGATCTTAGCTGCAAGTGCAAAGAGAGATAATTTACTTTCCAAACATGGTAAGACAAATTTTAATCATTGCATCTTCATGTCTGTTAATTATTCCCTAAGTTAAAAATTCCATATAATTCCCATATTATATTAAGTGAGGTAAAATGTTAAGTTTAAGATTAAAATCTATCACCAGGCAGAGAAGTCTTTGAATTTTCAATGTAAAGCGCTATACAAATTTCATTACTCTAAACAGATGATTCTAATTAGAAACTATAATGATTGAAAAACAAAGCCCCTTTTATACATTATGCACAAAAAATTTGGTTCGTGTTTACTCTATATGATTACATTTTTAGTCACTAAAACCATACTCTCAAATATTTATATTAGATGGGGGCCTAGAGACAGAGAGATAATGATCTAAAATAAATTTAAACAGTGATGTTCTATCTCTAGGCTAAAAACACATAGAAAACATGGAAATATTAGTAAGAAAATTAGGGAGCATGTTGAGAAGATGATAATAATCTCAATCATCCATAAAATCTACAAATTGCTTTATATTAGTTTTCTCAATTAATCGTCATGCATTCATTGTAAAATACACATAATTGATATAATAAATTCTTTCAATAGAGAAGGAAAATGAGAGTGAAAATTTTAAAAACTTTCACAGCATCACATGGTTTTGGGGTAGAATTATGATTTACACCAAAAGGCCGGTTTGATCTCAGATCCTCCCCTGCAAACCACTACCTAACATGGTCTTTTAGTCCTTGAGTTTTAGCCAAATTAACTCTAACTCTTCCTTTCCAACATAGGTCACTCAGTTCTCAAATGTACTTCTTTTGTCCTCACTATTTTATTTATTTAAGAGCAAAGTAAATTTGTTCATTATTCATAGTGTGAATGGAATTTTGAATTTTATATGTAAAAAAGATGTTATGATATAGGTAACATTGTAAGATTTTTCATATCCAACTTATTTTTACATAAAGAAAGGAAGCATTAGAGAATAATCTCTTAATTATTGTGAATCCATGGTTTCCTTGATTCACCATTTATGAATATACCCTTCTGAAAAGTAAGAGCTTCTCTGAAAATTTACAAAGTTAGCCAAAAAATACAACCTTAATTTCATAATTTTTCTGATAGCTTGAAGTACAATATATTATTCTGGACTAATTAATAATTTTTTCTATGTGATTGTGGAGAATATCTAAAGATATCTAAAACAACTAATTTTAATAATGTGTTGAACATCACTGCTCTACAATGAAAGAACCAAATTAGAGATAATAAAAAGATAATAAAAAAGAGTTACAGCTTTTAAAATTTGAAAGTCCTTCATTACTCATAAAAGTGAAATCCCCATGCCCCAGTGATAAGAAATTGTGGAAAACAAATGTATTCTCCAATAAGTATACCAAATGAAAGCAATGCATAGCCCCTGGTTTCCAAATATTGTTTCAATGTAGTTTGAAAATTTGAATGTTAGAATGAAGACAAGTCAAATTCAGTCATGAATAAATGTATTTCAAGTATATTCATGTTAATTTTCATAGATCAGTGAGCTTGATCTTTTTAAGAACCCATATTTAATTTTTTAAAAAATTGAACATCTTCCTCTTGTTGTCACTAAATGCATAAGTTAAACACATTTCAATTTTGTGGATTCTAGTGTTATAAAATTTTCTGTATTTCCATTCAAAAATATTTTTTCAATTACATAGTTACTATCAATTTGGCAAATCAATATGACTAAATTTTTACCTAATTGTGCTTTCCAAATTTAATCTCTTTTAACAAACAGATCAAAAAGAAAGTTATTTTGGACACATCAACTACATTTTATTTTTACCAGCTCTGTTATTATAAGCATGTACGTATTCATTATTACTCTATTTTAAACCAGTTACCTGCATGTGGTTTAAGCTTAATGAGGCTGTTTAGAGGAAAAGATATCTGTTAGAATATTTTCATAAATATTTTTACAGAATGAAAAAGAAGCAAAATAAACCACTATATGAAAGGAGGAAATGGGAGATATGTGTAGGGAGCAGAAAAACAAAACCCAGAAAATGTGAGTTATTCAGTGACTAGTCCCTGTTCTGACTGCATTGATGCACTTCCCTGTAGAGCCTTACCACTAACATTCGCCTGCCAATAGTAGCATGTCTCCTTATTCAGTGGTGGGAGAGCCTATGGGGGTCTGTGGAGTCCACTGTAAATATGGCTAGAGACTCAGGTAACTAGCAGACACTTAACAACGGACCTCACACTGTTCTGCCTGTGCTTTACCTGGAGTTATCTTAGAAAATAAAAAGGGACGAGAAGTATTACTTATAGCAGGCAGGCACGCGCGCGCGCACGCACACACACACACACACACACACACACACACACACGATTGAAATCTGTTTGCCTAAAACCCTAATCTAGGCCTTTGGACGAACGTACTCATATATTTGGCTGATGGGACAGATGAACCCATATGGAATCCAGACAACACGCTAACACTGCAGCTCTCCTAAAAGGGCTAGAAAAAGAGAGTTAATAAATTTTGAGTGTTTCACACTTTGGACCCAATTAAATTTTAGTGTCAGTTAATTAGTGGTTAAACTTATTTCAGTACATTCATCCAGAGAAAGAGCCTTACAGAGAAGGACATGATATTATAACTACCTCTGTTTGAAGAAAATCAAATAATAGCAAAACACAAAAACATAAATAGGAAATGTTTTGTCTCATGAAGGAAATTTTCTTAAAATGTATTCTTATAAGAAAATGAAATAATTATTTGTTTTACTTCAACTTCACTAATCAAATGAAGTGTGTAGGCTCTTGAAGCTGCATAACTGTAAAAGGACTTGGTATTAAACTGCTTCATTAAAAATTAATGAGGGGTAAATCAACACCTGCTTAGCATAATGGAAAATCAGGCTAAATACCGTTGGTAAACATTACTGTTCTCCGTGTGGTGGCTTTGATCCATTACCAAAAATAACACCATCACATTTTCAGATGTTGATAAATGCTGCAATTTTGTATGAGGTTAAAGTGAAATTTAAAAACCAGAGCTTTCCCTCTTCTTCAAGTTTTTGCGACTATTTTAGGTGCTTGCAAATATAACAATCAACTATGCTGGTGTTTGAAGCTTTCTAATGTTTCCAGTAAGAAAAACGGAGAATTCATCAAATACCAAAGCCTCCTCCACTCTTTCGATCAGATTTACAAGGTTATTTCCTGTAGCACTTTCAGAAAATCAGTACCTGGCCAATGTGATGTCTAGTCTTATTCATTTCTTCTGGTACAAAAAATTGGTTCCACATCCAGCCCCGCCTCACTCTCAAATGAGATCCCGCTGGGTGCTTAACTTCCTCTGTTTTAGAGTTTTCTGTTGCTATAAGGCAAGGCAATAGGAGAGGAATTCCCAACATAAAAGGCAGCAATAAGCAGCAATTCATTCTGATCTTGATTCCAACTGGTACTCTTCAGAGAAACAGTATGTTGCAAACAAAAATCTTATGTTCCCTTGTAATATTTTTAACTCTTAGGTATCTTTCATATTCCTAGAGAACAAAAAACAAAACAAAATTCTCGACATTTAAAAAATAACATTTTCTTGCATAATTGTTAAAGACATGATACAACTTTTGCATCTGTAAAAATGGAACAGAAATACACACTCATCTTCCAGTTAAGCTACTTAATTATGTTTTGTAACTCAGCAATAATTTGAATGGTACAATTACAAATTTCTGCTCAGTCATTGTAGTCATAAATTTGCCTGAAGGTTGAAAAGTTGCTCTAGCAATCTCCTTGATTGATAACTGACACTGAGATATTTTTAAAAATTTAACCTGCTTACTTCTTCCTTTCTATCTCAGTAAAATTCAAACTATCCAATTAAATCAACCATCAAGCCAGGGAAAAATGTGACATTTTCCCTCTTTTTCAATAGATACGCTTTGTCATCCAGTTTCCCATGTTATGGTATTTTACATAGCTAATTAAATAGACAAAATGGCAATTCAACTTAAAATCTGGGGGATTTAAACATTTACACCAATTTATACTGATGTTATAAAACATCATGTGAATAGAAATCCTGTTAAGATATTTTTATATTGCAAAAGATATGAAAGAAATGTTTTTCATCTTAACAAAGAAATAAAGCCATTTTTAAAAAAATAAATGAAAAATTACAGTGCTTGGGTAAAATGGCTGAATGTTTATAATATGTAAAATGGAGATGAAAGGTATCTTTTAGTATGTAAATATTAAGACAAAAAAACTCAAGCTACTGACTTTTCCATTTAAAATTTTCCATTTACCTGATACTGATCATACCAGCTCTCCATGATATGATTGGTAATTCTCACCCTTATATGAAACTGAATAACTTTGCAATTTCCACATCTATATAGAGCCTCCGTATAACCAAATTGGATTTGTTTGTTTGGGATTAATGAAGAAAAATAATTTTGTCCAATCTACAATGCCATAATCAGCAGAAAAGTCATAGAATCTCTTTCTGCTAGGAGTTTTTCATATGACCTTGTTTTGAATTTTCTCCACATATTTTTGATTGTCCCTGACAGGTTTTTTAGGTCTTTGGCTCGTTAGGAAGAGTTGTTAAAAACACCTAATTAAGAAAGAACACATTGTCATAAACGGGGATCCTGTGGTCCCACTGTAATTCTTTCAAGCAGATGTATTCTTTGTTATAAGTTTACTTAATGAAAGTCATGAAGAAATTCAGCTGAGGTGAAAATTAAAGATGAATTTCACCCTATGTTAAATATTTGAAATTCTTATGTCTGTTGCTTAGAAATAGCTAAAATATATATTTTGATAGCTAGTGAATAATGAAGACATTTGGAACAAGTACAGTTTTCTTTATGAGAAGATATTTTGTATAAATTTGTAAAACTATCACTAACAGTGATATGAATTATGCTTAAAATGTTGGGTAAATAACATCTATGTTAACTTTATATTATGGTATCTTCATACATCTAAACAGAGTATAATGAACACCTATATACCATTACTTAGGTTCAAAATTATAAAAACACGGTCAGTCTTGTTTAATCTATATACATATCCACTTCCTGATATTAAAACAAATTTTAAATGTCGTTATCAATTTAACCATTCATTACACACACACACACAAACACACTTGGGCACAAATGCTATATGACCTTTTTAAAGATCAAAATTAAATACTAAAAATTAAGAGTAAGTCTTCAGTATAATCAAATATCCAACCAATACTCAAATTAAAATTCTTTAAACATCTTTGAGTCAGGATTCAGCTATGTCCACACAATGCAGTTTGTTGAGACATTTGTTAAGTCTCAGTTAATCCACAAGATTCATGACTCTAAATTTAATTTTTCTTTCCATTTATGTCTTGAACAAACAAGGTCATTGATCCTATAGAGTTTCCCACATTATGGATTTTTCTGACTGCATGCCCATAGTGTGTTTTAATATAGTTCTTTATTCCCTTTAAATTAGTAGAGTCTTGATTAGATGCAATTTTAAATATTTGTCAACAGTTCTCATAGCTGATGCTGTATCTTTTATATTCCATGATATCTGGAGGCACAAAATACTTAGTTTTGTCACATTTTGTTTCCTGTCCTGAAGTTGTTGGTCTTGTTCCTAAGATTCATTAGGAATTCATTCATTCATCTCTGTCATTTGAATCATTTATTATGAATTTCTTAGTCACCCTTTCTTTTAAAGTTTTACCAGTTATTGATGACAATTGTCTAAATCAAATATTTCAGTGACCATGTGATGAAACACAGCAAAAAAAGAAAAACTCAAAAAATGAAACTCCTAGAACTGAATGATATAATATCTGAAATCCAAAATTGTTTTATCAAAAGATTGAACATTAAAGAAGAAAATGTCATTGGCTTAAAGATTGCTTTATGGAAATGATTCAAATTAAAGTAGAAAGATAACATCGACAGTAGAAAAAATTATTTTTAAAAATAGAGAGAATTTCAATAATTATGGGACAATCTCAAATAGTATAACATATATATATAACTGGAGTCCCAAAAAGAAAGAAGAGAAAATAATAGTGGCCAATGGTTTTTCAAACGTGCAGAACAATATCCCACCCAAAAAGACACTCAACAAACACTAAGCAAGAATAAAACAAAACAAACAAAAATCATGTTATTGTAAAATTACTAAAAATAAAATATAAAGAGAAAATATTAAACACTAACCAGAGGAAAAAGGGAAATAATAAGAATATCCATTAAATGTTCATTAGAAATAATGTAAGACTGATGGCAATAGAATGACATGCATAAAGTTCTGAGACAAAAACTTTTAACATGTAATTACATATCCTTCAAAACAAGAGTAATATAAAGCAAATTAGAAGAATTAATCAATAGCACAATTGCACTATAAAAATATTAAGTAGAAACTCTTCAGAATGAAGGACATATGAACCAACATAAAGTAATGAAATTAGAAGGCAATATTAAATATATAGATAAATATAAAAGGCTTTTTTATTAATATTTTAAAAATACTTTACTATTTATAAATTAATAACAATATTATGGGATATATAACATGCATAATATAATGGCACAAATAATGGGATGTGGGAAATTAAACTATCTGGTGGTCAGCCTCTTACATTATAGTTAAAGTGATATAGCAATTATTCAAGTAGACTGCTGTGAGAAGTGAAGGATGCACATCGAAATCACTAGAGCACTCACTGAAAACAAACAAAAGGCCATATTAAGTGACTAAGAAAGGGAAAAAAGATTCCAAAAATTACCTTCTATTAGTACAATAATAAACAGGAGAATAAGGGGAAAGAAGTAAACTCAAGAGTGTATAGCAAATTTAACCAAATGAATCATTGCATTAAAAAGAGATTAATAAAACACAACAACTAATATGCACTGTTTGTCAGTTTTGGATTTAAAAACTTAACCCAACTAGGTACTAAAGAAATCATTTAATTATAAATACACAGATAGGTTGTAAGGACAAGGATGAGAAAAGATATACCATAAAATAATAATCATAAGTTAGCTGAAATGCTGTATTAATATCTCAGAAACAAGACCTCAAGACAAGAAGTATTACCTGCCATAACAAGTACATTTATAAAGATAAAAAAGTAAATTAATCAAAAAGGCCTAACAGTCCTATGTGACTGAAGTTAATATCAGAGCTTTAGAATACATGAAATAAATATCAACAGTGCTAAGGAGAAGTAGACAGTTATAATCGTGGAGTAGGTAACACTGGTCTCCCCTATTGAAATGCCAATAGGACAAAAAAAATTCACTGACGTATAAAAAATGTTAAAAGTACCATCAATCAACATAAAATAATTAAGACTATAGATTGCTGCACCAAATGGAATATAGTTTCTTTTCATGCACTGCTGGTGGGAATGGAACCCGGCACAACAATTGTAGAAAACAGATGCGGAGTTTGTTAAAAACTTAAACATACGCTGACCGTATGATCCAGCCATTCTGTTCTCAGATATTTGCCCCAGAGAAATAAAATTATTTGCCCATACAAAGACGTTTACAAGAATGTTTAAAGCAACTTTATTTATAATAGCCCAAACTGGATACAAATCAAATACCCACCAACAAGTTAATGTATTAACAAAGTGTGGTATGTCCATGTGGTGTAATAATGCTCAGTAGTAAAAAGAAATGAGCTATTGATGCACAAAGTGACATCTCCAACAGTTATGCTGAGTGAAAGAAGCTTGACAAAAAGTAGTGCAGATTGCATGTTTCCGTTTATATATAATTCTAGAAAATTCAAAGCTATTACAGTGACAGAAAACAGATAAGTTCTTGAGAGAGAATAGAGATGGAGAGGAATAGGAAGAAGGTATTACCAAGGGTCCCAAGAGAAAATTTGGGGGTGATGGCTATGTTCATTATCTTGATTGTGATGATGGTCTTACAGAAGTATAAATATGTCCAAAAAATGAAACCAAAATAATCAAACAAGTCCAAATTGTTAATCTTTCTATGGATTTTCTACCCACCTTGTGATCTGTGGAACAGCAGCATCTTATTAAAAATGCTGAATCTTGAGCTACTCCAGATATACTGACACTGAGTCTGCATTTATCACACTATGTGTGAGATCGTATACACAATGAATTTTAAATAGCATTTGTCTATCAAAAAACTGATATAATTTCTTCATGTCAGTAGTTTGAGAAAAAAAGTGAGGGGTTTTAAAGAAGATAATATACTAGATTAAAAGATGTTTAAGACACAAAACAAGTGTAAAATGGAGATATTATCTAGATCTTGATTTGTATAAGCCTGTTTTTATCTTTACATTTTTATGAATCTGTAATATTTAATATAAGTTGGTTATTAGATGATAAAGAGAAAATATTGTTAATTTTATTAGTTATAAAAGTTTCTTTCTGGTCATACTGGTAATTAATATCCTTGAAACTGGTTAATAAGTATTTGCACAGCTATTTTTTTTATTCTTCACTTGTGTTTAAAACATATATATTCAACAATAA